AAAATGAACAGACTACACTATTCATTATACAGTATAGTCAAAACAACAAGAGGTAATGAATGAGCTTTGTAGGAAAATGGATTTTGTAAATTGCCTTCATAGTCTACTTACACCTCCACTTAGTCATTAAAGAGTCAACATCCATGAGTAATGTAAGAAGCTGGTGGGGCTGATTGAAGCGAGGTTCTTCTCGATAGAAGGAAATCATGAGGGCTCCCTGAAGACCTTTGTGGCTAAGGCGTCTCTCCCCACGGGCCATTAGGGCATTGTGAGCCCTGACATCAAAAATGCTCTCAAACAGCTCTTGACGTTTCTTATGTTGTGCCGTCAAGTATGATTTTAGGGCCTCATTCTCCTCAGCCTGAGAAAATTTTATTAGAAATTTAGAAAAAACGTAATTTACAGTAAACACACATGCATACTGTACTGTAATATGAACAAGTAGAAAAAGCATCTAGTATAGCTGAAAAATAATTCTGAGCAAGGTACTCTACTACTACAGTATCTTAGGCTAAATCTTGTCATTCTTATGGACAGATCAATATTCCACACCAGCACAATAGGGGACCCTTTCATGTTCCTGTAAGGTTTATTGGTGCAAGGGACACATTGGTGATGTTCTCCCAAGCACAACCTTACATCAAAGATACCACCTAGAGAATAATCATTTGCCTGCTTGGCACTGTCTCCAATCTTGCTCCATTAAAAAATATCATTGTTATTAGATTTTGTGTTGTGTACTAAAAGCTTAACCTAATAGCATTTGTCTTGACAGGTTTACTGATCTTACAGATTTCAGCTTTGAAAATATTTTGTTTTATAAATATGAACACAATTATGGTATCATACGAAAGCTAACCTTTGCCTCTTGTTGTTGTTCTTCAAGAATTGTATCTACCACCATTTTGTACTTTTTCCAGAAGTTAAAACCTTTCTCTTCCAGGCCTGGCGTACGTTCTAGCCATCGGTTTACCAGGTTCTGCAGGGATGGCTCATCCTCTGATGCCTTTATTGCTTTGTAAATTTCTGGTTCATCACCGAACACTTTTGTGTAGTTTTCTTGGTTGTAGCGCACTCTCAGTTCCTGCGAGACAAAATAGATAATATAAATCATATTTACAAAGCTGTACCACAATATCATCATCATCCTCCCATCTCCACACCGGATCCTCCCAGATATATCCTCGCCACCAATCCTCTTTTTTTAAAATCCCCAAACACCTGCAGCCCAATACCGTCTAAACTGTATTAATAGATTTACCTGTGTCACTAACCCTAGTGGTCTCAACGAGGACAGGAAGCCGACGACTTGTCAAAGGTCCCTCTCACCCCCCCCCCCCCACCTATTTGCCTTTATGATCTTTTCTAAGAATATTTTAAATCTCTTGCACAGTTTTGGCAGTTACGGCTTTGGCGGGTAGGCGGTTTCAAGGGACCATCTCCTGTTCTCAGACCAACATTGAAGCTTCTTGAGCTAGAAACCGTTGCCCCTTGGTTATGTTACATCTGACCTTTTGAAGAAAATATCCGGATCAACATTCTCTAACTTGTTTAGTATTTTACAAGTTTTAATGAGATCCATCCTATCATGCCTAGTTTGCAGTGTTGTTAGTTCTGTGGCCTTCAAGCGTTTCTGATACAAGAGATGACTTGACTCTGGAATGACTTTTGTTGCTCGGTGCTGCACCTTCTCTATAGCAGCTATGTCCTTCTAAAAATGAGGTCTCCATGCTTGGATACAGTAATCCAAATGGGGGCACACCAGAGATTGTAGCAAGTATATTAAGTCAATAACATACTCGCTCCAAACTCACATTACCTTAATGAGACTAGTTTGTTAAGTCTACTTAATCCATTAATGACAAAACTCATACCTCTTCCCTAATTACAGTTAACACTCTTTCCCACTTATTAGGCGAGGTGTGGTCCGATTATATATGCAATCTAGAGGAATAATTAATCTCACAGCACCGCTCCTGCGCCAGGTAAGTCCACTACAAGCTCGCCATAGCCCGTGCTACTTGCTCTGCTCCTGTGCCAAGTAAGTTACGGACTCACCATAGCCCGTGCTACTTGGAACTTGTTCCGAGCAGCTGAATCTATAACAACAACAGTAATTAATGAATTGAATCAATCCACAGTTACAGCCCCGCTCCTGTGCCAGGTAAGTCCACTACGAGCTCACCATAGTCTGTGCTACTTGGAACTTTTTGTTCCCAGTAGCTGAATCTATAACAACAACAGTAATTAATTACGGGCTATTCGTGCCCATGCCACATCTTTGGTGGCTTAATCTTCATCAATTTAGTAATTCACAGACGTCCTATATATAGGAAAAGAAGCACACAGTCTAGGGCTGTCAATCACCCTAATTTGGATACCAAGTCATATTGGTATAGATAGTAATGAAAAGGCAGACTCACTAGCAAAAGCTAACACTGCTCTGCCTGTTCTACAAGTTAAAATACCTCCAAGTTTTTCACAGATTAAGGAGGAAATCAAGAAGAAAATACTCCCAACTATCAAAAGTCGCTAAAGAGCAAAGTAGCGGAAGGAAGATCCACTGCGATGTGGTACGAACAAGACACTGGGTACTCCTCTTACAAGCCTGGCAAAAAGATATCCAGAGACAATGCGGTAGCCATACACAGACTCAGACTTGTTATAAGTGCTACTGGGAGGTAATGCCCAGGTTAAAGAAGGTTAAGGGGGAGGTTAAAGAATGTCATATCTGTGGAGCAGATGCAGAGGCGCCACTATTACACTACTTACTGGAATGTATAGCAACTGAAGCCCCGCGCATCAAACTCAACATTCATCCAACAAGCAGTTGGATGATTCTTCAAAGCAGCTGAAGAATGGGATACATTAGTGAACACTGTGCATCTATATCCGCCACCAAGATCATGCTATTAAAACAAGACTAAAACCAGTGTGCTAAAACAGAAGCGGAAAAGAAAGAGAAAGAGGGAGAAAAGGAGGAAACCCCACCTCCACAAAGCACTTGTGTGGAGGCGAGGTTTCCACCTCACACAAGTGGAGGTGGAAGTGAGTTTTGCCCACAAGTGTGTTCTATTTGTGTGGAGGTGGTCAAATAAATATGACCAAATATCACAGTAAAAAAGGTTATCGTAAATAATTGATCTCAATTACGGGCTCACTATAGCCCGTGCAACATGGACATTTCGTTCTTGGTAGCTAAAGCTAAAAACAACAACAGTGGTTCAGTACAGACACTTGAGAGTTACCACACATCTTCAACCTCAAGAATGTAGAACTCTACGTGTCCAGTTCCAACCGACCCCAAGACGCTTCAGTTTCGACACAAAGCAGACAGTCAGACTCCAACCGCATCGAGCTCCGCGACTCCGGCTTCACTCGGCTCTCTGCTCTGCCCCCGGCTTTGTTTTAACTTCTACGACAATGCCAACAACCGACTGCTGCAACCAAGACTACTAAATATCAAAACCACTAAACTGTATCTAATCAACCGAACAACGTAACATAATCGTACGTTACAGATTTATACAGTTGAACCATTACCTTCTTTTCCTTATAGTCAAAAGTACGCTTGATTATCCCAAGAGTTTGGTTAGCTTTTCTGACTGCTGCACCCACCTGTTGTGCAACTTTTAACGAGTGGTGGATTTTGACTCCAAGGTCCATTTCTTCGTTAATCTGCTGTAATGTAATGCTATTCATTTGGTAGGCGTGGCGCGGGTTGTTATGCCTCACGTGTATGGTCTTGCATTTGTCGATATTAAAATGCATTTTGAAATAGGCATGTATCATCAAATACATGCCTAATAATGAAATAGGCAATAATCAAAATAGGTATGGTTATGATTTTCGGTGGCTGGAGTACTGAATCTTACCAGCTGGTGGGCTGAGAGGCAGACAGCACGAGTGCCTGACTTACGGGCTATTCATGCCCGTGCCACCTATTGGGTGGCTTAATCCTCAGCAATCGAGTGCCTGACAACAGGTCGAATCTTTGTTAACTGTGAATGCCCGATTGCTTGTAAATCCCCGACTGGTTTTTGACCTTTTGCTAGCTTAACTGTGAATGCCCGACTTCCTTTGACTGACTATGACTGACTGTTTGTCACTGTGAATGTCTGCCTGACTGACTTAACCGTGGGGGCCTCTGATTTACCTGTGGGCCACTAACTAGTGGCCTCTATGAGAATCTGAAGCCGACGGCTTGTCGAAGGTTCCCCCCCCCCCCATTTTCCTTGATAATCTTTTCGATGTATATACCAGAATAATACCCTCTGACTAGTTATGTCTAACGGCCTGGCTCTGGCTGGATGCTACATAACAGAGGCAGTGGAATCTGTGAATAATAATAATAATAACCGCTGGCCTAGCGACGGGAAGACTGTCACAGTAAACCCAATGGTGCCTCCCAGTTTAGCGAGATTCGGCAAACTTAATACTGTATTCCGGATTTAACGGCCAATAATTCGGTAAATGAGGCGCCAGTTACCGATCTCAAATTCGGTTAGAACCGGCGGAACTATACATCAGAGGTTATCTTGAGATGATCTCGGGGCTTAGCGTCCCGGCGGCCCGGTCCTCTACCAGACCGCCCAATCTTTTCCTTCCTTTAGTTCTTTACAGTGACAACTATTCACCCATTGTACAGTGAATAGTGTACAGTGTTTTTCGTATAATTTGTGATGAAACTTTATCATTATTAATATTATTATTACTATGCCTTAAATTTGCAGCTTTCCTATTCAATTTTGTTATGCTCAAAACACAGTAGCTTCATGGAATGTACATTTCTTACCTATGATATCACCACTAATACATAATTTATGTGCTTTTTAATAAAATAAAATATATTTTGAAGAACTTTTGGCAAATTTTAAGATTTTTCAGCAAATTAAATCATGGAAACCTAATCAGTAAATTTTCTTGAATATGTTGAACAGTAGCCATTGTATAGCCTACAATGCTACCATATTACTGCACGCTTCAAAATGGCTGCTACACAGCTAACTTTTATCAGTCCATCAGATACATGGCTTGGACTAAAAATACCTTAACTGTTAACACTCACCCCTTTGACTCCAAGTTTGTTCTCAAGGAGTCTGAACTGATAACTCTGGAAGCCTGACGCAGGAGACAGGTAATCCCGGAACTCCATGAAATCAAGAGGCGTCATCGTCTCCAAGATGAGAAACTGGTCCACACACAGCTGTTTAAGAAGGACTCATTACTAAACGGTAGAATAATTATACCCAAATATCTACTCATTACTAAACGGTTGAATAATTATACCCAAATATCTACTCATTACTAAACGGTTGAATAATTATACCCAAATATCTACTCATTACTAAACGGTAGAATAAATATACCTAAATATCTACGTCTCAATCACATTTCACTATTCATGTTCCTGGGGCGACCTCACGCATGCATGTCTGTCATTGTGTAAAATTGCCTAAATTGCTCATTTTCAAAGTAGTGTATGTGAGGTGTGGTGTGGACTTGAACTTCCTCACGTAACTGGTAACAGGAGCCATCTGGAAACCCCATATGTTGCAGGTAGGAACTTTGTACCACCCATCGTGGCAAAAATGTTACTTTCTTCATTTCCGTAACTTTTCAAGATTTAATTTACACAAGAGGTAATTATTAGCCAACTGTGTTAATAATACATATATGCAGTATCACTAACAAATCCAAAGACAGCAAACTTGCATATTTTATTCTATAGAAATGAAGCCATGATGGGGTGGACATACCCCTCTCGTCTCAGGTGTAATTCTGTTACACTGTAATTCTCCTGTTACTACTATTGTAGGTGTTTACAGTGTTCTTGTGGCTACTGCTGCTTGCATTACACTACTATTTCTGCATTCTGGTACTACTACTCCAGTTGGTACCGATACGTGACCCCATCTTGAGCGAGTACTGTGACTTGCCCTCATTATAACAATAACCCATTATGAACATGGGTATGACCTACCTTAAAAGTATAAGCATAACCCATTATGGGAACGACTGACCCACCTTGAGTATGAGTGTGACCCTCTGCATGCGCTTGACAATTTCGAGCATCTTGTGTTCATCCACTTCCTCCTGACTGAAGATCTCCCGCACAGAGTCTATCTCGAAAATGATTTGCTTGAACCATAGCTCGTATGCTGGGGTAGAGATAAAGACTGGTATTAGCAGCATCAGCAATGTTACACTCTACATTACGCCTTGCATGTCTGCCGAGGTGGCAGACAGCAGCGGCAATGTGCTGTACTGAAGACTCGAGAAATATGTTAAGAAGTGAAAGTGAGTGCGAGTGTGTGGCTGCACGTGCGTGTGTTCGTCCCCCCCCCCCCCTCCTCCTCCTCCTCCTCCTCCCGAGAGCAGCCCGTCCTCCAAACGAAGACCCAAAAGTGATTCCATGTACCCGCCAAACCCCCTTTTTATGAATGAAAAACGGTTTACACACGACTCAACTGATGACGTTCGAACACTTCCAGAACAACTGCTTCACTGACGAATTTTGTTCGAACCACAACACTGTAAATGCTTCAAACACGTGGCACAAATACAAATAATCGCCAACAGAACCTATGCCTATGCACAATATGCAATTATAATAATTTATATTTGAGAAACTTCCCGTTTTGAATGAACAGCATGTAAAAATTTATGAATGCGTCTGTGGGGTCGACCGCTGGATGTAATGGACTTGGTCTGAGGACGGGTTGCAGTGAGAGAAAAGGGGTGGGGGGGGGAGGGAGGGAAGAAGGGAAAGTGGTTAAGAAATGAAATCCACACAATGAAGGAGGGACGCATCCCATCTCACGATCGTCGTCGCCCCTAAATCAACAACAACACAATGAAGGCTGTATTAAAAATATACCACAAAAACACTAAGTATTGTAATGCTGATTTGACTAAAACATCTGTAGTGAACTTACATTTGAGTATGGCAAAGAGAAATGTTTACAAACCATTTTTTTCTCTTGTGAGGGATGTGTATTATTGCTCGAGTCTGGCAAAAGCATGACCCACACTAACAAAATACTCCAATAACCTATTAATTGATGTATAAGTTACTCTGGCAGTCGAGTGAAACTGCAATGGATCCAGCCAGTAACTGGATGGGTGCCTGGACGTGCAGCCTTGCCCAAGGATAAGGGGAGCTCGCCCATAAATTTAAAAAGAGAATGTCTGCTCAAAGTTGGAAGTAACACGGCTAGCCTTACCCAAATTTGTAGGGTTAATGTACTAGGGCCCTCCAGTGCGGTTCCCCACACGGGGCCCTCCTCCAGTCATGCAATAGGTGATTATACAAAAGAGGATGACGAGGGCTTCAAACAAGTACCAAAACAAAGACTTCAAACAAAGTACCTGCCCGAAACGCTGCGCGTACTAGTGGCTTTACAAGATTGTAATTACCATATTATGTATCCTCACAATCCCAACGTACCTTCTTGTATATGCATAAGTAAATAAATAAAATAAATAAATAATAAGTCAAAACCAGAGGAAGTATGAGACTGGACAAAGAGGAGCGACAGGATGAACAAGTATGAGACTGGAGAAAGAGGAGCGACAGGATGAACAACGTCAGCACCAAGTCAAAGGTGGAGAGTGGCACACCTTAACTTTCCTGCAGCGGGACTGACATCAGCAAAGTACAAATGGATTATTGAAGCCGGCCGCGCCCACAGAGCCAAGTATCGCATAGAGAGCAAATTTGTAGGTGGCAAGGTCATTGCACGGGGGTGCAGGGGCTCAGCGCCCTGCTGCTCTGCACAGACCAGCCATGAGTATCAAGGTAAGGATATTAAACTCTTTGAAGCAGCCCCACAGACTAGACAAACTAAAATTATACTCAAGAACTACAGTATTCAGCCCAAGTTTAAATGATTCAAGAAATATTAATTATTCCAGCCCATCCCTCCTGTTTAGATCGTACATACAGTAACCATTGTACATATATTTACGTAATGGACAATTAGAAAATAGATTTTGGTGCTAAAATCTTTGGTACTAAAAAGTTTGGTACTAATACAGCCACATCCTAAGCCTAATACACTCTATAAGGCTTAATACAGTCTATATATCTTCTATAATAGTCCTAGGAATATTTGAATTTGGTTTTTAGCTATATTTTTTCCGGACTAATAAATTTAATAGTACCAAATTCTACTATCTAATTGTCCAGTACGTTAATTTATGTACGATAGTCCAGTGTTACAAAAAACTATCTAAAGAGGAAAATGGGTCTAATTATTCACCCCCCCCCCCAACCCCCTACCCGATTCTTAAGGATTCAATTCTTGGGGAAGGAGGGGGGGGGGGGGGGGAGAGCTTAGGGAGGAGGGGGAAGTGGGGATCACTAGACAGTTTTATACACTGTGCCGAGAACAGACTTAATATTACTTAATTCGGTCATCTGCAGGTGGGAATTTATTCTCGCAGGTTATTTTAAACATATACACATTTTAAAATGATATACTATCATGCTGCTACCTCACAGTGATTGGCTGGCTGGATTGATGTCCACAGCTTCGCTTCGGGCGATGTTCCAAGGACAATTGGCCTCATTTTATCGTAAAAGAATTGCACATTCTGTTCAAAACCTGTATATTTTAGGACACCCGTTTATCAGCTGCCACTCTTGACCACAATTATTTATGCAAGTGAGGAAATAAAGCTTAAGGTGACTTCATGTAAACTTTAGTAGAATACCGAGAATGTGTATCTATAACGTCACGGGACAGTTCATATTAGCTCTAATTGCCTCTTCATTTCAATTTTGTGAGATCAGTTGTGCCAAATATACGTGTTAAAACTCCCTTTGTTTTTGCAATATGTTATCTTTCAAACTGTTAGCTAAATGTTCGCTCACTTTATGCCTAAAATGTACGTTTTATTTAGATAGCCTTATCTAACTAAGGCTATCAAGTTCGAACGAAATCCCTTGAACCAATACTGGCTGGACTACAGCAATGATTTGTACAAGTTTTTTTACGAATTAAGTTTCTGATTCTGATAACTATAATATCTATGTACTAAGATGTTATTGTGACTCGAGTAATTAATGCACTCTACTTTTTATGTATACGTAACCCCCAATTATAAATGAACAACCATTTACGAATACAATTTGATCCGATGTGTAAAATAATTAAGGCAGTAAAGTGTTATCTGCAATCGTTTAAAACTATTGTCCGAGTAGGCTTTAAATTAAACCGTCCAAATGTGTCTTTGAAGGTCAACTCACTGACGGAAATGCTTTAATAAAAAGATTATCCAGTTCACTTTATAGGATTGTTGTTGTAAACATGTGGGCCTCCACAGGCCCTGGTGCCATGGTCACCTTATACAAAAACTATGTTAAAATGTCACGGTACCAAGCTGAAGAGTCCTGATTGACTTAAGGAATCCAAATCTCTTAGAATAATCAACATTGCATTAAAAAGCTCTTTTTTTCAGAATAATCTACATAACTGAGAAGCTATAACTTCTTTGAAGAAAAACATAGTTTCACTAATCATCGCTACTCGAAAGAGCTATACTGTATTGAGATGCCAGAAAAAAAAGTTTTTAAATAATGAAATAAATTAGACATAACCCTAATTTAACCGAGGCACCATCACGTAGAACCACCAGAGACGTCCACAGCCTAACACCAAGCACCTCCCTCCCTCCCTTCCTCCCAAAGAACCAAGTACCTCATATGAAAAGAACACCTTCCCAGGAGACACTGCATAAACTACCGTTCCCTTGAAGAACCACCATTACCCTGAAAAATCCACCTTTAGTGTAATTAGCCAACATTACCTTTAAGAAAAACGAAAACTAGAATGCATAAACCTTACCTTGATGAATGACTATGAAGAGGTGTTCATCGTGGACCGTTGACTTGCAGCTTTGAGCACTGAGGAGTTGGTGAAGCTTGAGGTAGGATGTGTAGGTGATGCCGCCGAACTCCTCCGCCAGATTCCTCCCCTCCTGAGACACGTCCAACCTGACGAAGGAAACACACACGTTATAGTCAAGGGGTGAAGCCCAGCATCGTCTGAATGCTGTAGTATAGTATACTGGCTGAGGGTTCGGCCATGGCACGAGATGGTTAGATAGGCTGGGCTAGGGCAGGATAGGGGATGATTCGGCCATGTCACGAGATGGTTGGATAGACCGAGCTAGGATTAGATATGAAGTCATAAGCTCCCTGTGGATAAAACATGTTCATTTAACGTTTTAATCAACATACGATTAACAATGACTCGTCACTACACCAACTAACCTTGTCCAGTTTTGCTCCCCAGGGGGTCTATATGGGACGAGGACCAGCGTACTGGACGTGCATCGTAACCCGCTGGACCACGATAGATAATTATATTATATCTCACTCATTCACGGTAGCCTAGCACACTCATTCATGGTAGCCTAGCACACTCATTCACGGTAGCCTAGCACACTCATTCACGGTAGCCTAGCACACTCATTCATGGTAGCCTAGCACACTCATTCACGGTAGCCTAGCAAAAGGGTCACTTTTGTATTGCTTTTTACTTTACTGTTACAAACGTATAGGAACCACACCCATGCTTGTAACCCGTATTGGTCAGTACTCGCAAGACTGGCAATCCCAGATATTTAAAGCCTACCAAGAATATAAGCATGACAAATTTTTCCGAGTGCGTGTTATGTATGCGAACGAAGACTGCCAGAGATATGCGTGTGTTGTGTACCAAGATATCACTCTTAACCGCGCCAAGGTTCGCTACCCAACCACTACCATAACACTCAAATAGTAAAACTCAAACCAAACAAATCCCCAGGGCCGGATGAAGTGTTTGCCAGGGTGCTTAAAGAATGCAAAGAGGAGCTTTGCGACCCACTGTCTACCATATTTAATAAATCAATAGAGTCAGGCAGAGTGCCAGAGTTATGGAAAGTTGCTAATGTGATACCAGTTTTTAAGAAAGGAGATAGATCACTTGCGTTAAGCTATCGACCAATTAGCCTAACGTCTATTATGGGAAAGTTACTCTAATCTATAATTGCAAATAAAATAAATTGCCTAAATGTATTGTTTATAAATTTCCTAACAAAGATTATGACTAGAAACACTTTCGAGAAAAGAGTTTGTTGTTGTGAGGGAGTTTCCTGAAGGCGGTGGCCTAGATAACATGACTCTTGACAGCCTTATTTTCGTGTTCTCTTGCGCGTCACGCGGCCAAGAACGGGATCTGACTGTTATAGGCCAACTGGCTCGTGGTGAGTTTTGAGGACCCAGATTTAAACTGGTATCTATTGACTGGTTAGTGCAGCAATAAAATACTTTAATTAAATTTTTGATATGTACAAGAGTTCTTACATTCTCTCTCTATAGATCAGATTGATCTCATGACTGGCCGGCATAGCGTGCCTAGGTAATCAAGGTATTTCTGCAAAACAATATATTTTGTTTAGGCTTGGCGTGTAGGGCTTTCGATCATGGATTTGACGGAGCAAGAATGTTAAATGAGGCTATGTCGTCAACTCACACCAGAGAGAAACCATGTAGCAATAAAGTTAGCAATTAGCAGCGGACGGTGGATGGGTGAGAGCTGCCTACCATATATAAGTGAACAAGTGAACAGGGTTTATACAGCTGGGTAGGTACACAAGAGGTGTAACCCGCTTCTCCGTGTATACACAATGACACGAGTTAATTTGTTTCTGATTTTCGTCAAGGACTAACGTGTAACGGGGGTCAATTTATCTCGGATCTCTAAGCTCCGCCTGACTGCTGGGTGGACAGCGCTTCGGATACGTAGTCCTGAGGTTCCGGGTTCGATCCCCGGTGGAGGCGGAGACAAATGGGCAAAATGTTTCTTTCACCCTGATGCGCCCCTGTTATCTAGCAGCAAATAGGTACCTGGGAGTTAGACAGCTGTTACGAGCTGCTGCCTGGGGGTGGAGGCCTGGTCGAGGACCGTGCCGCGGGGACACTAAACCCCGAAATCATCTCAAGATAACCTTCCTTAGAACAGCTCAAGACTGTTACAAACGTATACTGGCTGGTTAATTAGTAACCTATTGTGGTGGCCTTGAACTTTAGGCCTCTGGGTTTTTATCGACACCAAACCGAAACTTATTAGGAACAGAAGCCTATAATTTGTGGACCCACCCATAGCCAAGGATAGGGCTGTGTTCACGGTCAACTATCCACCAACTGGTTGACTGACCTACATTTTCTGATTTTTGATCCTCATATCTCTGCCTCCTCCCTCCTTACCAAGTCCTGTGGTCATCACAGCTGAAACTGAAGCACACAAATGGTAGTGTGTATGTTAAATTTAAATACTGAAAGTAAGGTTCTCGGCTGTCTATAATAAACATGATAATCCTAGTTACACAGCAACAAGTTATAATTTTATATCTGATGTTAAACGTATATTATATTATATATATTATATATATATATATATATATATATATATATATATATATATATATATATATATATATATATATAGGATCTTTGATAGGCGTGTGAAGTGTTTAAGAAATATGCAAAGTGCTAAACATGTACACACAAGCGTGTAAAACGTGTCCAATATGTGTAAATGACTTACACACAGCTTCAAATGTAGACATGTTGACAGAGCCCTAGGCCCAGAAACCCCCTACACCAGTCTATTAAAGATGGGAGGAGAGACCCAGAAGCTGAAACAGAGCCTCTTCCCCTCAAAGACAACTAGGCGAGCACGTGTGTAATAAAAGACCATAAGCTAGAGGAACGCTTGGGACACATCAACACTATTGGCGTATTAATGCTACAATGTGGCGACGTCACTCACTCAACCGCACTCAACCGTCCTCTAGCAGTCCAGAGATTCCCAGTCAGGACAAATGTCTGATTTTTGTTAGCCTAGGTTATGTTAGGGTTTGTTAGGCTAGGCTATGTTAGGGTTTGTTAGCCTAGGCTATGTTAGGGTTTGTTAGCCTAGGCTATGTTAGGGTTTGTTAGCCTAGGCTATGTTAGGGTTTGTTAGCCTAGGCTATGTTAGGGTTTGTTAGCCTAGGCTATGTTAGGGTTTGTTAGGCTAGGCTATGTTAGGGTTTGTTAGGCTAGGCTATGTTAGGATTTGTTAAAGGTTAAAGGGATTAACATAAAGGGATTTGTTAACTTTTGGGGCCATCTTTCAGAACTGCTTGGCTGCCTCGACTCAACGTTGAAATTGAAACTAAGTTTATTGAAGTATAAATACACACAATGTGGTCGACTCAGCGTTGATTCAGTGTTTATTGTATGTTACTGAAGGTACAACACACCAAGAGTAGGGTATTTTTTGATTATCCCCTAACGCCCCTTGCCACTTGGGGGGGGGGATAGGGTTTTTATGTAGCTTCAGGGGCACCAATTCCCCCAGCCACTGGACATGGTGAGAAGGCACCCCTAAGCATACCTATTTCCCTCTCAACACAAAAATATCTGTACTGTATATAAAAATGGTAGATGGTAATCTCAACCCACAAGAGTTAAGCTGATGATGATGATAAATAACCGGGCTGTGGTGAATATGTTGGCCTGTGGGCCGCTTCAAGCAACAGCCTAGTGGACCAAACTCTCTGGAGGCCGGGCTTGGGGGAGTTGAACTCCCAGAACCCCGTCAAACAGGTATGTAAAATGGACAATTTTGTATTTTGTTTTTTCTTAAACAAGACACAGCAGACAAAGGGAGAGGTGCACAGTATATCATTAAAAAAGAACTAAAGCTGAGGGCAAAACCACAAAAGCTGCCTAAGCGACAGGTACGCAAGGTGTATGTTGTGACGCAGGTTGTAAGTCGCGTGACGCAAGATGCGGTAGGTTACGTGACCCAAGGTACAGGTTACGCAAGAGCAGAGCAAAACTACCATGTGTCGGGTACACAGCAGGCAAACTCGAGGCTAAAATAACGTTGATAGAGCGATACTTCCGGACTGGTGTGCCCAGCAAGGGTTATAACCAGGCTGGGTTAGCGGGGACTGGATGATGTAGGGGTGCTGGGAATAGTCCAGAGTGGGTATTATAGCCGACCCACCTCTGTGGGTCTGGGGGAGTAGAGCCAAAACTTGGGAGAATTTTCATCCTTATGTCATTGCTAATCTTTAACCCTAATTCAACCCGACCTATCCTAACCAAAGATATAACTTTTATTTATGGTTCGCACAAGATGGGCGACCTCACATGCCGTAATGTCATAATTGTATTCCGGCCGAGGTTTTCAATCCTACTGGAGTTGATCTTGGAGGCTATCTTAGAGACCCCGTATAGCGCATCTTGTGCATGTTTGAACATCAAGTACAAGTAAGTTTATCGAGATGAAAATATAAATCCCTAAAGGATAAAGTAGCTTAGACTTACATTACACACAGAAATCACAATAGCGTTGTGATACATCAAATGAACAAATCCACAAGGGCCGTGATGAGGGTTCGAACCTACGTCCGGGATAGTCCCAGACTTAGCTTAGTCTTGTTTTTATTACCACAGCCCTCTCAAAGAGCCGTAGTAAGGTCATTCCCCCGGTCAGACTAAAAATGTTTACCTGAGTAAAATCTTAAGGAATACGTCTGAGGAGCGGGAGACGGTTTTACGACCTTGTTGAGGGAACCACTGCGTGTAAGGCTTCTCCTTGAGAGTAAAAACTGGCGCTTACATCTTGACTGGTGGAACGAGGGAGATACACTCTAAAGATAATGGTTGACGTTCGGCTGGTATAGGTTTTCACCGTGCAAAACAAGATAGCTTAGGAGGCCAGGCGGCGGGAGTGTTCTTACTCACACAACAATGCTGTCCTCACCTGCCTGCACGGCTGTCCGGCCCTACCCGCTTCCCTATAACAAAAATTACCCAACCAGCCTCTTCCAAACACCTCCCGCCAACGCCCCTCTTCTGAATTCCGAAACATTTAAAAAGTTAGACAAATAGATACAATTCTAGCTGGACTCAACAAATACCCAGTAGATTATTATATATATTTAATTTAA